ATTATAAAAAAAAATAGAAAAAACTGTAATTCCTATAACTAATGATCCAATCGTCATAGCCTTTGAAACTTTAAAAGCTGAAGAATTGTTTTTATTATCAATATTGGATCTCAATTTTGAATGTCCAATATGGACATTAGAATTTCTAAAAATTGAGCCTGTGAAAGCGCTCTCTTCCTCTGTTCGAAGAGTTTCTTGCTGTAACTTTTTCTTTTCCTCTCCGTGATGAACTATATCAGGTTCACTAAGTTCTTCCTGATTTTCATGATTTCCTTCTGTTGATATCAACCTATCTGTACTTACTCCTACATTGCATTTCCATTCACTTAAGTCCTGATCTTTCTTATCTTTAAAATATTCATTAAACGCAATACAAGTCTCTTCGCTACTCTTTTGTTTTTTACAGTCGCGATTGAACGTGTTAAACGTTATGATATATTCATTTACATATTTCTGAAAATCGCTATTACAAAACCTATAACCATTATTAAAATAATTTTTAAGCGTATCATAATCCCTCGAAAAATCAAATAACAGCTTAATATCCCTATAATTTTCTTTATTGACATTAAATTTATTATCATGACATATATTCCGACCATCATTATTTTGAAGTAAAAAATCAAGTATTGTTATAACACGTATAGAATGTAATTGATATGTTATATTAGAATATATTATATAATTTAACCAATAGTATAGGTAATCACAATCATCACTATTAAAGTTCTCACTTTTATATTTTTTATATATATAACATAAGGAATTAAGTATTTGCTCAGAAACATCCTTCTGCCATTTCTCTTTATTTAGACCAGACTCCACATATTTGTAAAAAGATGCATCGTTACAACGTACATCAGGATTATTGAAATTAGCGTACTTTTGTTTTGAAGGTAATTTATTAAGGTCATCATCCTGTGCACATAAAATAAATGATAAAATAAATATTTTTTATTTATAAAAAAAAAATAAATAATTTAATTAGAAATATCTTATCTTAAAGTAAATAACCATTTACATTATATAAAAAACCTACCTCTAACTGAGCTACCATTATTAACAAATCTTAAAACGTGATATATAAACAAAATAAAAAAAGCATATAATTCATTGATTATTTACTAATGTACTGATAATTTTCTAATAATATTTATAAGAATATATATGGTACTATTTTGAATTAAGAATTTGTGTTATTCATTTTGTCTATTTTTATATATCATTATGATATGCTATTATTTTAATATTATTTTCAATGAAATATGGATGTGTAGTTATTTATAATGTATACTACATAAATGTATATATTAACCAACCATACAATGATATTTATAATATGATTGTGTAAAGAATTGTTTGGAATTCATATTAATGTACATAATATTATAGTGTATGTTACAGTTATAATATATATTATCTATACACAAGTTTTTTAAACCAAAAAATAATAGATACTATGGGATAAATTAAATATTTTAGGTTTTTTTATACACAATATTATTATTTTTATTTCATATATATAATTTATATTAATAGTGGTTTATTTGTTTATATTATAAAAAGAAGTAAATCATTACTTTTTCACGCTAAAATTTAATAGACTTCTTAAAAATTTTTATTATTTTCTGAATTCGTAAAGTTCTCCTCCACTATTTCCATATTATAATTATTTTGTTCTATTTATATATTGTTGATATTAACAATAATATTTTAATTTACAAGAAGAAATAAATTCTAAATATTTTTTATTTGTTACTATCATAATTTATTATTACAACATATAAAATTTTTTTTTTATTGTATGTTATTTTTACTGGATATAATATGAACTCATAAAACTCTTTATATATTTGTACTTTGCATATGAGAAAAAATATATATTTTAATTAAAAATTTATGAGTAATTTTTTTTTAGACATATATGAAGTTATTACTTTCTAATAAGAATAATCATATTATTCAACAATTGCATTAATATTTATAAAATTTTAAATTTATTTAATGAAATATATTTTTTAAATATCACTTATAAATATTGTATAATTACAAATTTGTAAACCAAATTAATTCATAAGAGCATTAGTATGCGTCGTAAAAATATATTCGAGCATATTTTTTTATTTACTTGTATCATACTTATAAAATATAGAAATTATTTGCGCATAAGGTTAACAATAACGTTATTATTTATCATAAAAATTTTTAATCTATATAAATAATATATTTTGTATTTAAAACTACGTATAATGTTTGTAATTTTTATTAATTTAATGTATTTTTTAAAAATCTTTATTATTACAATTTTCTTTTATTGTATTATTAATGATTATATAATTTCAACTAATAATTACTCTTAAATACACATATTAACTTATGGTAATATATAACGAAATTAGAAAAACATATAATTTTATGTGGTTAATTGCATTTTATCATGTACATCTAAGAGACTAAAAATATAATTACGAAATATAAAAAATACATGTCTCTATATTAAACAATTATTCTATAATTATTTTTAAATATATGCATTTTTCATTTATTAACAATAGCATAAAGTATTACTATAAATTGATTATTACTATTATATTACAAGTAATATATTAAATATCTTTATAATAATTTAAATATTACGAACAAATAATCAATAATAATACAAAATCAAACAGCTAATAAATTATCTTGTGAAAATAAGTGTTAAAGCATGTTTTAATACAAAAATATATATCATTTATACTAGATAGTTTCTATCAAAATTATATATATAACTAGTAAAATAATTTTTTTACTACTAACTCCCTTAAAATTTAAAAAAACAAATGTTAGTACACGGGGGAAAAAATATTATAAAAATATATGAGTGTAAATAAATGTTTTATGACAAATATATAATAGTTATTAAAGATAATCTAAATAAATAATCTATAATACAAATAAAAATATATTGTTTTAGAGATATCTACAACATTTATGTATATATAATTTACAGTATTGGTTGAATACATTTAATGTGTATTAAATAATTATTAATTAATAAAAATATAACATTAAATATTTGAAAAATGTAAAAAATTATAATAAAAACATAACTTTTTTCAAGCACATATTGTTAAAAAAAATGCATTTCTTATTATTAATTCAGTCCTGCATTTACCTAGATATGTGTTATTATTTCTAATAATGACTTAAATATATATTCAATTAAAAATTAAAACAGGCATATAAATATTTCCTTCTCTTCTAAAAAAAATTACTTATTAATTTATCTTAAATCAGAATAAATATATAAAATATATTAGTAGCAAGACTATTAATATTATGATCTCCGTTTTAATAATGAAAAATTCTGCAATTTTCAAATCTAAATATTATAAAAGATGTTATTCCGTGAATCAGGTGTAAAAATTATATGGTAAAAATTTATATCATATAAGAAGAATGTTTGTTTTAATGTAAAATGTTGCAAAAAATATAAAAATTTATATAAT